ACCCCTAATTCCCCCATCCTGTGTATCAATAGCTTCCCGTTTACCCTAAACATCAGTCTGATGTCCTGCCCGAGGGAAACAGGGATGAAAGTCCTTTGCCTACTTTGCTGAAGTAAAATGGGCCGGGGAATATGTAAGTGGCAGAACTCTTGGCCTAGCCTGGGTGAGACTCTCTGTTCAGCTCTTTCTCTCCCCCCTACCCCCATGTGTGTGTATTAGAGAGAGAAATAGACAGACAGACTGACACACAGAGACATGCTGGAAGATCATACAAAATGTCTTTCACCCTCATTAATAAATGATTCAGGAAAACAGGAGATAGATACAAACAAATGCAGTTGTAATATAAGGCACAGATTATAGAGATACGCATATGGACACCTAAGAATGCCTCAGGATGGAATTTGACCTTTGTATCACATCACTTACAAAGATCAGCTGCACACAGGTTAAGCATTGACTTGAAATTACAAAATTACTGTAAGAAAACATGGCAGAAAAACACAGTCACTAGTCTAGGCCGCCATGCTTTAAATTTTACTCAAAGTCTCAGGAAACAGAAGCAAAAATAATAGATGGAGGGCACCACATCAGAGTCAGTGCTTCAGGGAACAACCAGAGCCTGAGGCTACAAGCTACAGACAGGGGGAATGCATCTGCGCCCATGTACAGAATAAGAAGAGATAGATCTCAGAATAGAAAAGACTGAACTCTATAGAAAGAAAACAACGGATATGGACTTTAAGCTGGAAAGGACTCTCAACAGACATTTCTGTAAAAAACACATGCAAGTGGCCAACAGGTATGTGAAAAAAAAAAGCCTCCAAATCAGCCAAGGAATATAAGTTAAACCACACTGAGCTATTACTGGCACTTGTTGAAATGGCTAATGCCAAAAGGAAAACATATATACTGGAAGGAAGTAGGCAAATCCCTCACACTACAGCTGGGAACGTAAATTAGGATGCCCATTCCAGAAAACAGTCATATAAAAGTTGGGAGGGGGGTTGACAAAAGACGAAACTAAAACTAAAAATCAAATTGCTGAATGACCCAACAATCCAGCTTCTAAGTATTTATCCGCTGATTTAAACTCCGCACACTCCACTAAGAGACTGATCTTTCCCACTTACCTGGACCTCCAGCAAGACGAGGTGAGTACTTATAGTGGGCAAAGACAAGGCAGCTAAGTACCAAGCAGCATCTCCCCAGAAGATGCCTAAAAAGGAGCAGCCCCAAAACAGTGAAATGTCAGGAGAGCGCAGCTATGGGGTCGAGAGGGGCTGGCAGGGTTTAACAACTGTCAGGTTCAGAGTGCTGAAATCATCTCTGTTGAGGCACCTGCTAACGGATTCCCCAAGCACCCACTGAGGTGTAGAACAGAAGCCAAGGATTCCGGTAGGGATATGTCACCCAAGCATCACTCCAGCCAACTCAGCGGATCCAGTGAAAAGTGAATCAGAACAAAGAAAACCCCTCGCTTTCACTCTGGGGTTTCACTCTTGTGGGTCCTGGTGCCAAAGCCCATGAGGTTGTTGTTTACACTGGGGGGAGGGATCGGTCAGCTCTGGCTGGTGAGCTGGCTCAGTGGGTAGAGGTGCTCACTGGCAAGGCTAAGGACTTGAGTCTGATGCCTGGATCCCAGATAAAGATGGAAAGAGAGGACTGGCTTTACAAAGTGGTCTCAGACACACACATGCACAATGCACCCGGACATCCATCCCTCTTTTTCTTCATCCCTTACACACACACACACACACACACACACACACACACACACACACTAAACTATTAAAAAATAAACTCCATAAGACTCTAGAATCTGTTCCATACGTATCCTGCAGGTTATGCTTAAAGAAATTAACTGTATTGTATTCTTCTGACACAGAGGTTGTCTCCAGAGGTCAGTCTTTGCCACCCTCACTCTGCATGCTGAGCCCCGACCCGCGTGGTCCAGCAGCCCTAGGGACTCTTGGAATGGGTCTCAAGAGAAAAGCCGTCAATTTAGAAGGCTGGATCTTTGGCTGTCATGAGGAAAGCTTTCAGGCAAACTGGCTGGCTTCTGGACCACAGAGATTCCAAATCTCTACTTCATTTGATTCTACATACCTCTTGAGTGTCAGGTCTCATCCTTCACCAAAGCTTGGTTTTCTTTTTCTTTTTTTTTAATTAAAATTTTATTATTTTACATTAATTACATTTTATTCACTTTGTATCCCAGCTGTAGCCCCCTCTTTCCCATGCCCCTCCCTAAGTCCACTGATAGGGGAAGTCCTCCTCCCCTTCCTTCTGACCCTAGCTTATCAGCTGCCATGGGCTACATCTGAGCAGGGGTTCTAGGTTATCTCCATGAATGGATCTTGGTTAGAGAATCAGTCTCAGAAAAGACCCCTGTGCCCAGATATTTTGGTTCTGTTGCTCTCCTCGTGGAGCTCCTGTCCTCTCCAGGTCTTACTATCTCTCCCTTCTTTCATATGATTCCCTACACTCTGCTCAAAGTTTGGTTATGAATCTCAGCATCTGCTTTGATACACTGCTGGGTAGAGTCTTTCAGAGGCCCTCTGTGGTAGGCTCCTGTCCTATTTCTTGTTTTTTTTCTTTCCAATGTCCATCCCATTTGTCTTTTTGAGTGAGGATTGATAATCTTACTCAGGGTCCTCCTTCTTGCTTAGCTTCTTTAGGTGTACAGATGTTAGTATGTTAATTCTATCTTATAGGTCTAGTATTCACTTATAAGTGAGTATATACTGTGTGTGTGTCTTTCTGCTTCTGGGATACCACACTCAGGATGATATTTTCTAGATCCCACTATTTGCCTTCAAATTTCATGATTCCCTTGTTTTAAATTGATGAGTAGTATTCCATTGTGTAAATGTACTACAATTTCTGTATCCATTCCTCCATTGATGGACATCTGGGTTGTTTCCAGCTTCTGGCTATTACAAATAAAGCTGCTATGAACACGATTGAACAAATGTTCTTGTGTACTTGAGCATGTTTTGGATATATGCCTAGGAGTGGTATAGCTGGATCTCAAGGAAACACTATTCTTAATTGACCAGGAAAGCCAAAGCTTGGTTTTCATGTGATAAAATGGAGCTGGTGTGTTAAAGCTTACACTGACAGTGTGAGAACATCAGAACTAAGAGTTGCTTGCTTTATGGACTGAACTAGCCCCAGATCTCATCAACCGCGCAATTAAATCTGAAATCTGGGGGCTGGAGAGATGGTGCTGCTGTTAGGACCACTAGCTGCTCTTAAAAAAGGCCACAGTTCCCAGAACCTGTTTTCAGGGGGTCACTATCGCCTATAACTCCAACTCCCGATCTGACGCCCTCTTCTGGCTGCCTCAGGTACTGCACTCTTGTCTACAAACCCCCACACAGACATTCACAAAAATGGGATAAAAAGCAAAACAACAACAACAACAAAATCTTCTTAAATCTGAGGTCTGATTTTTAACAAGTGTGGCCCTCAAGTTATAAGAAATAAAAGATTTTACTGAGCCTCCAATACTGCTCTGCTGAAAGATCGCAGCCCTGACTGCCAGGGTTTCCTGTGGGCTTTCAAGCAGCATCTCCCCACAGTCTCTATGGTCATCTTTTCTACTGCAACCATTGAGGTGGCTGGACTTGGTTTGGACTCGAAGCATTTGATTCTGTAATTCACTCCCAAGCCACCAAGGTCACAACTGAATTAATGATAGGGTCACTGACTACAATGAATTACCCACTTAACACTCTTTCATTGGCAGGAAGTTCAGCACTGTCTTCAAACCCAAGAGCAGCACGAACCCAACTTCCACCCCCACAGCTTTATAGGAAAACAGAGAGCTGGAGAGGAAGGGAGTAAAGGCGAGGCTGGGCAACCTGGAAGCTTATACAAGTGTTCTGTGTCCTACAGGTCTATCTAGATGCTTGGGTCTCTGCAGAGAATGCCCAGACCTCCAGTGCCCCCACGTAGGTACCGGGGTCAGCAGTAACACCCAGGTTACCGTGAGTACCCCTTGCCAGAGACAATTCTTGGCAACAGTGGGTAACTCTCGCCACTATACAGTGAACTCCTCACACTCTAGTGCAAGTCAACTCTACCATCAAGTCACATTCCCTGTTGGAATGTGAAGTAAGCGCTTCAGTGTCTGTACTAACACATGTTCATTACCTTTTGTTTCCATAAACCTTCACTGAGCTCATGCTTCGTGTCTCGGGGTCCTTGTCCCTACCCGTAGCAACCTTACAGTCTAATGCAGAGAGACACTGATAAGGAGAGAACTTCTTGGTGGGCGTCGGGGTGGGGGTTTTGAGACAGGGTTTATGTGTGTATAGCTGGCTGTCCTAGAACTTGCCCTGTAGACCATGCTGGCCTTGAACTCAGAGCTCCATCTGCCTTGGCCTCCCAACTGCTTCTGCTGCTGGCTCTTCCTGTCCTTGCTCTTCTGTCCCAAATGATCCCAGGTAACAGAACCCAGGGAAGTGACCACAATGAAGGACTCGTGGTCCCTGGCCTGTGGGGCCCAGTGTGCGGCTGTTCTCCCTAACATGACCAGCACACCTTTCTCACGGAGACTGTGTCTCTGATAAGGGTAGGATGGAGGAGGAAAAGGTGTACGCCACCACCACCCGGCTGGAGGAGAGTCTTGAGAGCAGACTGCAGACTTAGTCTAGAGTGAGGGGGACTGAGGGCAAGGGGTGGAGCCCTGCCAAGAGGGCTGGAGAAGCTAAGATGGAGTCCTCATGTGAGTTTTCCTTCTCTGGACTCCCAAACACATCCTCAGGGCCTTACAAGGTTCTCATGTGCTCTCAGGGCCTGTCTCAGATGCTCAGTCCGCACAGCAGCCAGCAGGCTGAGGTCTTGCTTGGGTACGCTTTTACATCTCTCTCTGGCTCAATGCACATTCCTCTGCCCCCACTACAGAAAGGCCAATAAAACTCTTGGCCAGAGTCACGCTGTACCCAGTGTCCTGGATGCCTAGCTCTTCCGCCTCCCACTTCCTGAGAAGCATGAGGCTTCTGCTGCTGGCTCTTCCTGTCCTTGCTCTTCTGCCCCAAGTGATCCCAGGTAACAGAACCCAGGGAAGCGACCACAATGAAGGGCTCGTGGTCGCCGGCCTGTGGGGCCCAGAGTGTGGCTGTTCTCTCTCACACAACCAGCACACCTTTCTCACGGAGACTGTGTCTCTGACAAGGATAGGTTGGAGGAGGGTCAGGTCATCCTCAGGGCAGTTTGCACGACCGGAGTTCCTCCTCTCACCATGTTTCCACCTAAGGAACAGGATTATTAGCCTTGCACCCACGTCCGTTTTATTCCCTGCTTGCACAGCTCTTGAAACAGCCACCCAAAGTCTCCAGCCCCGTGGAGTCTCCGCCTTTTCAAAGTTTTGCTACTGCTTTCAAGGAGGGTCTTCATCTTCCCACGTTCTGGAGTTTGGTGACTGAAATATCTGCAGAGGTGTTACATGGGTGGACAGAGATGGCTTTCTTTCTCCCTTGAGCCCTGAAAGTCTAGGGCTTGATAGCCACTGCTTTAAAAAGTTACCCAAAGGTATGGCCAGAGCCCTGATGCTACTGCTCCCCCAAACCTGCATCCTCCCTACTGGCAAAGATCACTCAAGGCAGATTTCAGAACATGCAAAGCTCCTTACAGTGACCCACATATTTGTCTCATTAAAAAAAACAAAAACAACCCTAAATATACTATCCCCATGGTTACACAGCATTTTTGTTTCAGTTAATATTTTCTGGCCACCTACAAGTCTGCCTCATTCTTTACAAACTTATAAAATTCTACTGTAATAAAAACTATAGCCAGGTATAGTGGTGCATACCTTAACACCAAGTGCTTGGGAGGCAGAGGCAAGTGGATCTCTATGAGTTCCAGGCCAGCCTGGTCTACAGAGTGAGTTCCAGGACAGCCAAGGCTACATAGTGAGGAGTTTCTTATTTTGTTTTGTTTTAAACAAACAAACAAACAAACAAACACAACATAAAACAAAACAAAACCCAAACCAAAAACCTATCAATTTATTCAAGCCATTTGCCAAGTTCTGAAGTCTGCCTTGAGTGATCTGTATAAGATCAGAGGGTTCAGGTTTTCTGAACTCAGTCACAGTCATGAGGGGAATTTCTTTCTTTTTTTATATAATTGTTTACATTTATATACTTACTTATTTTTTATTTGGGGGGAGGAGAGCACATGTATGTGTCTCTGTGTGTTTTATAATACATGTGTGGAGATCAGAGTTAAAAAACTTGGAGTCAGTCCTTTCCCTCCATTGATAAGAGTCTTAGGGTCAAACCCAAGCCCGTGAGGCTTAGAGCCAAGCACCAAGCATCATTTCACCAGCCCCAGGTGGGTTTCTCGAAACGGGTAACTTGACACAGGTTAGGGGAGCTTGTAATGACTGTCTCCAATGCCTTATAAGTAGCAAGTTTACTTTCATTGATGAGTGATAGATCACACTTTGAGAAAAGCTTAGACACAGGCAAGGAAGAGGTCAGGAAATGTTACTTTAAGAAGCTCGATATTATCAAGCTGCAGCAAGGAGCCTGACAGCTGTCCTCCTGCTCTGGGCTTGCTGTTATTTGTGGAATGCCAAATCCATAGCCACCTTGCAAGAGTAACTTAAAATCATTGGTCTCTCCTTTAATCATTTAGCCTATGGTGGTGAGAAAAAATGCCTGAGCAAATCGGGGCACTGCAGGAAAAACTGCAACTATGGAGAAATGATTCAGGAAGCATGTAAAAATCATCGTGTCTGCTGTGTCCCAGACACCAGGCACCGCAAACAAAAGGCCTTTATCGCTTCAACCACGGAGCCAACCTCTACGACGGAGTACGATCTGCCCTCAGACTTCATGGATGTTCTTAGCATGATGCCAGATTCAGGCAACTTAGCCAGAATAGATGACGGAGTGACAAAGACACCCTGGAGGTGGCTGGGAAGCTCTGTCCCCAGAATTTATGATAGCTCATGACTTCTCAGATATCACTTGCTCATATCCCAAGAAAGATGGACTATGTTGCGTATATAAGGCACTGAAAGACCTATGATGCACACCCACCCCTCTGATTGTGTAATTCTAGATAAACACCCCTGTGTGAGACATCACAGTGTTTCCAGTGGCAAAGTCTCTGATGTTCCTTAAATGTCGGGGTCACTCCAGACCGCAGCAGTGTTCTTTTCCCGCGCGCTTCCTTGCTGGTGATCTGTGTGCAAGCTGAAGTGCTTGAGGAAGAATTAATTTCCACACTGGCATTTCCTCTGTCTTTCTGTCTGTCTGATGAGAGTTTTGGGGATACCAGAGCACTCTCTTATGTTAAGTTTCCCTCCAGACGAAAGCCCATGTGGGCAAAATAAAAATCCTAAACCTTTGCATTTACGACACTATCCACTAGGATGTAAATGCTTGCTCCAGGGGCTGAAGAGAGGGCACTCAAGTGAACTTGATCCCTTCAGGCCCTACCTAAGGACTTTTCACAATTATTTTCACTGAGGAGGTCAGATCTATGTTCTTCCTGAAACATAAGTCTGGAGAAGGCACTTTCTCCGGATCTTTGGCTCTGTTGTATGAGGGGTCAGGGAGTGGCATCGAAGAGAAGAGAAAAGATCAGAGGATAGAGCCATCACTCAGTGTGACTTTCCCTACACAAAGGTGTGTCGCCCTGCACAGACGCATGGCCAGCCAGCAGAGCAAAGGGTCCCTCGCTTATGCAGCTACTGGGGATTGTCTTGGGGACAGATGTAGAAATGGGTTGGTGATGGTGTGTGCACTGTGGTGAGCTCAGAGCCCATTGAAATGCCATTGCAAAGCAAAATGCCATCAGGGAGTATTAGTTTTCAAAGGGGAGTTCGCTCAAGAAACTTCCCATTGAGGGGCTGTAGAAATAGCAACCTTTTCCTAGGAAAGTAGAGGTTTTAATTCTCCAAATAGAGACATAACCCCAGAGGATTGCAAAGAACCAGCTAACAGAAAGTGAATCTTCCTAGATAACGGGGGGGGGGGGGGGGGGGG